TGCTTTGCCTCATGGTAAAGCTGGCCCTGCGTATCAAAATGCAAAAGGAAAGTCCTTTCTAGCTCTTCGTCCCTACAAATGGCTGCTTCAGGCTTAGTTTAATGAATGATCTCAGGTTACTGTGTCACTTTACCCATAATAGGAATGTGGCACATGAGAGTGGCACAGGGTGTATGAAAGTAGCACAGCAAAGACCAACAGTGTGAGCTTGGTGGTTGAGATTTTTTGTATTTCTGGAATAAAAGAAGTCACTAACCTATTTCCTGCTCAAAACAAATACAACTCATTGCTTAGAGAAAGCACCCAGTGTTCTTGTCTCCTTCTGTTGATGTACAAATTGTATGATCTGGCAAGAGAGTTAGGACAAACACTTTAAACTATTCCCTGCAGGCCTTCCCTAATCCTCACTGCTATTATTCTCTTGTATCCAGAAAGAGCAGAATTGCAGATGTGGTGCTACTAGTGGAATTGTTAAGAGCAGAATGCTTGGCATGAGTCATATTATCAGCTATGCCAAGGTCAGGTGGAGGCATTTTGCATCATCTGTATCATCATGAGCTGGCTATCAGAATACAGCTGTCCACAGATTATCCTCCCCCCTTACCTACCACCTTAATACTCACTACATGGCTGTGATGGCAAAAGGCAGCCAAATGAAACTTGTTCACTACTGGTTATTTCTCTCTCTCTCTCTCTCTCTCTCTTAGTTCAGTTTGTTCATTATACGTGTATATATACACATACATGCGTGCACACACACACAAGTGGGTCCTTGGTACTCAGTGGGGTTTGGCTCCAGCACCACTGTGGATACCAAAATCTGTGGATGCTCAAGTCCTATTATATACAGTGGCATAGTAAAATGGTGTCCCTCATATAAAATGTCAAAATCAAGGTTTGTTTTTTGGATTTTTTTTTAAAAAAATTTCAAGCCGTGTATGGTTAAATCTGTGGATGCAGAATCTGTGATGATTAACTTTCTGGGATCTAGGGCAAACTTGGAAGAAGTGCTTTTGGCTTGCCCATATGTTCACATACACATGTATATAAACTACCCACACATATATAGTTTGAGAGCCAGAGTGATGTACTAGTTTGAGCATTGGACTATGACTCTGGAGACTAGGGTTTGAGTCCCTGCTCAGCCATGGAAACCACTGCGGGGCCTTGGGCAAATCACATTCTCCAAGCCCCAGAGGAAGGCCAAACCAACCCTCCTCTGAACAAATCGTGTAAAGAAAACCCTGTGATAGGTTTGCTTTAGGGTTGCCATAAATCAGAAATGACTTGAAGACACACAACAACATATTTAAATTCTTTTCTTACAAAAGAGACAGAGTGAAACCTGTTAATACTGTTAGCTATATACGAATGTGAACACTGATACATTAATTCTGGGAACATCTCAAAAAAGTTATCTGTTCTTTGATGTCTACATTATTTTTCACATAAAATATTTGCCAAAATTTTTGAGTATTTTACCAACACTATAATCTTTCTCAAGCTATCTAAAAATCATTCCTATGTGCCTCTCTACTTTTTGAAATAATAGTTTCATCTATGTAGTTATATAAGGCAGTCAGACCATTCTTTTCATCCTGTAGTCATTTTCCTTTTTAGTTCTGCCTCCACATCAGGCATATGGACATTTTAAATTTAACATACATTTACATTAATTAATATTTGAATATGAACAATGTCAGGTTTCCCCCATGTCCTTTTTGTACAGTTGACAATTCTGAAAATAAATGTACTTTGTACTGCTCTTGGAAACCATTATTCATTCTGTTTCAGAATGGCAGGGTCAGAGTATGTGTGTTTCAGTGCTAATGTCTCATTGTTTAAGCCTCTCTTTTTCCTGAACAACAATAAAACTCCTTTTATGTTGCTGACATCTCATAGATCTGAAATAATTTTTTGGAGTTTAACTCTTTTGTTCCAAGAGGGAAATGATGGGGGAAAAAAAATTCTTTCCTTTACATGTTCCTATTGCTTTGTCATTGTATCATGCTGTGAACCTTGCGTATCCCCACAGAATATACTGCTATAAAACACTTCTCAGCAAGCAAAGAGAAGTTTTGTCACTGATTTTGTCACAGATCAGAGCTAATATCACATTCCAGTAATTAACAAAATCCAGGTATGATGAAATACCACTCAGATATTTGAGTTATGAAACCCATGAGGTTTTCTTTATATTTAAATCCATCTGAAAGGAACACACTACATGAAATACATGAGAGGTATTTTATTTAAGTTAGGCTACAATATATGCACACTTATCAAGGTAGAGGATTCATTGAAACCAGTGGGATTTACTTCTGAAAATAGGATTATGACCTTAATGCAGTACCTTTATAGGAGAGAGATTAATTTAGGGGGAAAAAATCACAGATTCACAGCATTGGAAGTGGTTGCCAATACTGCCATGCAGAAATGCACAACTAAAGTACTCATGAGAGATGGCCATCCAGACTGTTTAAAGATCTCTAAAGAAGGAGAGCCTATCACTCTTTGAGACAGTCTATTCCACTGTCCAACAGCTCTTAAAGTAAAAAAGAAAAAGTTTGAAACCATTATTCCATGCCCTAGTCTCTGGAGCAGCAGAAAACAAGCTTGCTCGGTCTTCAGCATGACAGTCCTCTAAATATGTAAAGATGGCTATCATACCACCTCTCAGTGTTTTCTCCTCCAAGCAAAACATACCCAGCTGTTCTTCATAGGACCTGGTTTCCAGACATTTCATCCTCTTGGTCATCTCCCTTTAGAAAATTTCTAACTTGTCAATATCCTTCTTGAACTGTGATACCAACTGGACATAGTATTTCACGTCAAGTTCCACCAAATCAGAATAGAGTGGCTGTATTACTTCCCTTGATTTGGACTATAGTCCTGTTGATGCAGCTTGGAATTGTATTGGCTTTTTTGGCCATCACATCATAATGTTGATATATATTTAGCTTGTGGTCTACTAAGACCCCTAGATTCTTTTCATGTGTACTGCTGTCAAGCCAAATGTCACTCATCCTATATTTGTGCATTCATTTTCCCTGCTCAGATGTATACCTTATATTCAGTGGCATCACTAGTGTTGGTATCACGTGGCGTGGGAACTCATGGTGTCACACCTCCCACTGATCTCCTTCCATTTCACACCATACAGAACCTTTAGTAATGTTTTTTTGCACTGTTACTCGTAAATTGTAATTCCCATATATCACTAAATGTAATGTTAATAGTTGTGACATAAACAACTAACAAAATTAAAATTATACCTTCAAGTTACAATATCATACAAACAACCTAAATATGTTTACATGTACATAGTGACAATTTGGTTAAAATGCAATGTTTTTAAAGAAATGTAAAAAAGAATTTAACATTTTTTATATTTTTTTTAAAAAAATAAAATTTTGAAATTTTGAAA